CAATATATGTATATTTTCGTACATATAACGTACTGACGATATCTAATTTTGTATAGGGAGCCCAAGGGAACTTCTAAATTGAGATTCATGTGGTCTCTCCCATTGTTTAGTCACTAGACATCAAAAGCTATACATACTCCTACGTCATACACTGTAAACAAGATGGCGCCCCCATTGATCCCATAGAAAATTACCTTATAAAGTAGTTATCGATCTCGTAATATTAATATTCTCTAAAAGCTTTTAACATTTCCTTTATTACAAAAATTTAAGAGTAAAATTATTAATGTATTAGATTAAGTAGGTATAATCTGTATTTTTCGTGCCTAGAAATCGTTTGTATATACATATTGGTGTTTTGTAATAATTTTCCTTTGTATAGTACAAATTTTCTTTGAAGGCGATATTATCGGTTAGCGGGATCATTTCCTTATTAATGTGGGGTATATTTAATAAGTGACCTAAAACTTGAACAACGCCGTTCTTAAGCGGCTCGTAATTAAATTAGATTGCTTCTGATAAAGGATGTTCTGTGTAATTTGACGATTAAAATGAGGCGATATTTGTTTCATACCAAGAAACAATTATTATATATTTTTATATCAATATTATAGAATAAATATTTGAGTGATAAAATGAAAAACATATTTGTGAAATGTTTCTAATCTCATATATAATTTTGACGTATCTTGTATTCCCCGCCGTCATATGTAGCAATTTATCCACTGTGTGAATTGTTGATACTATTGTTACAGCTTGACGTATTGGGTATCAAAATAAAGAGTCAGAAAAATACGACATTAATAATAATATATGATCCTGAACGGAAAATAAGACTTTAATTGTAATTTTTTTATCCTTAGGTTGGTATTACTGTTTTTTAAAGTAATTTTATAATCACAATTTGATGATTGTGGCATTATGGTTTTGTCGCGTCCTGTAAATTACTTTTGATATTTATCAATAGTTATTTTTGTTTTCGTTCATTGCCCATGTAGTTATGAAATTTTTTTAAATTTTTCAAAGTGTAAAACGTTTTTAAAAATATGACGATAAGAATCTACTTCTACATGTAAAATGTATTTTCAGATAGACTATAAATATTGGTCAAAAAACTTTAACATAGAAAACGCTGTAATGGAAGTTTTTGCTATCAAATATTAATCCTAAATTGATTGTCTTTGGAATTTCCCCACATTTCTCTCGCGTTCTTATCGTCTCGTGTCGACTTCATCCCAAGTTATTATATGTACGTGACATCAAACGCGCCACCCATTAAGCCTCATGGCGTTGCCATGTAAAATAAAATGTCAACACATTTGCCACTTATCGAGAATTTGTCACTTCGAAGTGACAAATTGATTGGACATTATTGTCTTTCGGTTTTCAGTATTTACTTTCAAATAATTATACTAACTACTGTCGTAAACAAGTAATTTAGTTTTCAAATAGAACGGGCACGTCCTTAATTTGAGGGCTTGAATAAGCATTTTTCTTGTGACTGTATCAGAATTAACAATCTAAAATAATAAGTCGTTAAAATTCAACAAACCCCTACTAAGGAATGTCAAATTTTGACAGTGATAAACTTCGTGACTCGAAGATAAAGAAAAATAAATTTCTTTTGTTTCATAATTATCCGTGTCTGGCTTGTTCTATCGTGTATAATATTTTAAAAGAATGTAATTTAACAAATATAAAATAATTTTCTATAATAAAATATTATTATTATATATTCTATTATTTATTTGGACAATATCTCGAAATTCCTCAGTGGATGCTGCCACTACCATAAGTTATTTGGCCATCAATTTGTCTGACCACTAGCAATTCTAGATTTGATCGACGGTTCTCATGACCTAGTTTGTTGGAATTAGAAGAATTTCAAAAATATAATATAGCTTCGCCGCGTGAGTTCGGTTATATCGCGTTTACCATCAAAAGTGGAATCCTATGTGCTCTGTACCGAATTTTTAAAAAGTTTGTTTTTGATCAGGACAGAATTCGATTAGTAGGGATTTACCTCTAGTATTGCTTAACATTTAAATTTTTTTGATCAGGAAATTCGAATATTTTTGGTTTGTACATGAATATAACAAGAAACTTGTTCAAAAACGATTGGCAAGAAATATAATGAAATTTTACATCATTGAAGAAACGTGCAATCAGACTTTCCATTTAGAAATGAACAAAAATTACAGTAAATCAATCAAAATATTTAATTTCTTGTAAGTTATAATAAAAAAACAACATTTCAATGGGATGGGTCTTAAATTAAATTATTATTAAGTAGAGCTAAGTTTTTTAATTAAAAGTTTTAAAGTAAATAATAAACTTCTGGCAACACAAAGGTCGAATTTCGCGAGTCACGATCTCTTTATGGTCGTTACTGTTAGAATATACTCTATAGTCTATGGTACATTATTTTTGAAGCATTTTTCGGAATTATCTTACGAACTTTTGAAATGTAAAATAAAATAGGGGAGGTTTTTAAACGAATTGGATGGAAGTTAATTGGCGAGTTTTTTTTTTGTATCCTATGCCCAAATTAATCGAGACTGAAACGAAAACTAATATTATAACGTGAAAAATGTTTTTGTCTAATACTATGTTGTGTAATAATTTTTTAAACGATGTTAAAAAATACATACTAGCAGCCAGTAAGTTCATTTCTTTTGACTAAAAGTGAATTTATAAATTACAAATAGTTAGATTGTGTATTGTGGGTTAATAAATTTAAACTTCTAGTATAAGTAAAAATACTTATGATAAAAGAAAATATTAAAGTTATAATTAAATGAGTTTGATTGATTCTATTTTTGAACTGTTTTGATTTGTCCAAGCAAACAGTGTAAAGAAATTTTAATATTGTGATGAATGACGATTGCAAATTTCTTAAAAGACGTGTTGTAAAAAATAGCTACGATACACACATAACTAATTGGTACACTACAGGATTCCTTTTGTTTTAGTGAAGCAAGCCTGCGTTACATCATATTGTACAATACTGTAATTATAATTTATACTAACCCACATTGTATAGTTTTAAACTACGTCTAAATATTGACAAATAGCCAAACTTTGTTCCTTTGTTCTGTGACGGATTTTGGATAAGCTGAACCAAAAGGTTACTCGACTTCATTACAACTGAGTCCTTTGTCGGCTGAACTTTAAGTAGGCATAATTGTTTGACTTAACTTCAGCTTATCACACCGTAGGGCTTTTGTCAATCAAAATATATATATATAACTTCGACACAGAATTAAAACAATTTCATTTATAACATAAAAAAAGGATAATTAATTCGCAATCCCCGTCAATTTCTATTGAATATTCATAAAATTTTTTCATAAAAAAAAAACGTAATCCGTTCTTTACTTTATTTAAATGAAACTTCACGTGACCTGACCTAATTTTTTTTATTTAAAATCAAGCTTTAATATTTCTATTTATGAAACGTGCGTCGAGTGTTGAAATTGTTCGTTTTATTTTAACGACTTTTTTGAATTGTTACCTATGTTACCTTTTTGTGGGTAAATGATTTGTGGCAACGGTAGGTTTTTCGCTCTCGTTATAACTAGCACCCTATGTATGAAACAGATTTTCTGATACTCACCGAGCATTTAATAGTACGTATCTACTAAATATTACATAATCAATGGGTATTATTAAACTTAGACAAATAACAGGTAAGACGAAATGAAACATGGTTTTGTGCAAATTGAATATACATTGTAATTGATATTCGATTTATATTATTCGATTTATATTATTATTATTCGATTATATTAAGTATATATATATTTCTGTTTTAGTAATTATGTCACTAATTTATACCACTTTTCTGTTCTTTAAATGCAAACTTTTAATGTCATGCTAAACTGAAATTAAAAATAAAAATCAAGTGTTCTGTTCGGTTCTTCGTGTGTTACATGTCCTTAATCACAATTTTGCCTCGCGAGAATATACGGATATACGGATAGTTTACCCGTTTTCATAGACCTTCGTTAAGCATGTATGTGGATTTGGGAAAAAAAAATGGAAATTATATAAAATTTGATAACGAACCATTGTGGTGACGGTGCTCGTGTCGGCGTAAGGACAGCAAAACAATTTTATAATTCCTAAATGTCGTTAAATGTTTTAGGAACTAAAAGAGTTCAGAAATCATTGCGTTAAAATTCTCAATTAAAGTACGAGTGTCTTAAATATTCATTTCTGTTTAGTCCTTTTCGTGTGATTCTGAATTGAAGTTCTAAATAATCTGAACTTTTCTTCGTTTATTTCGCTAGTAAGAAACCTTTTCATCATTTCGTGCAGTTATTTAATAAATTCCTTTAACACTAAAGAATCTTTTACTTCAAGACATTATATAAAGCCAGAGTCTATTCCATTCATACCCTAAATAGTGTTCAAAATAGTTTAATTTGTAGAAAATTTAGATACAAACTTGCAAGCGTTCCTAAGAGAATATTATAATATAAAACTGTAAATGGGTAACGTTAAGTGTTTTATTCTATTAATTGTTATAAAAACCATTTATTATAATATTTTTATATTTGCACAGATTAAAGATATTTTTTTATTTACTAATAACTTATTATTTGGTAGTAAAATATTCTTGTTATTTATGGACAAATTATATTTCTTTTGTAATCTGAGTGGCAATGAAAACTGGTATAAACAACTAAGAAGAAATTTTATATGCCATATAAAATATATCCATAAAATCATACTGAAAGATAATTGATTTTTAAGGAAATTTATAGCTTTCCCTGTTCCGTGTTATGAAGTAAGTTATGTGCATATAAAAATCTAAAGATAAGGTATTATTTATCCTTTTAAGGCGATAATTTTGATGTGTCAAGAAAAAAATTAATGTTTATATATTACATGTAACATACATGAATCAAAGTTTTTTTCGATATATTGTTTGTTTTAATAGCGCCTGGGGAGTTAGTGTAATCAAATCGCGTTATAGTGTGTGTTGTTGTATAAAGACGCAGGCGCAGGCGGGGCGTGCGTGCGGCGCGCGAGTGCATGGCGCTGCTGTACCGCGCCACGCGGCTCAAGGACCGTGCTGACACGCACGTGTTCACGTTCGTGGTCACCCGCTCTGCCACCCGCGAGCCCGACCGCGACGTCACCTCCAAAGACTTCTGCTGCGCTCACCAGAGATGGGCGGTCGCGTTCAGCCGCAGCGAGGCATCGCTGGGTTAGTTCTGTCCTATAAGATAGAGTATTTAAATATTAAACTGAAAACATTCTTGAATATATTCGTTTTTTTTGCAGGCGTCTATCTGGTGTGGAGGGGCGTGTGCGAGGGCATGCGCGTATACGTAGATTTTACCTTTACGTTGCTTAGTCGTGATCACTTTACTGCCAATGAGGGGTTCTCTGGGAAGCAAGTCAGATTCTATGCTGGATGTGCGGCTCAAGGTCGGGGACGATGTGTATCGCTGGCGGAACTCAATTCTAAATTTGCAGACGCGCGAGGCGAATTCCAACTAGAGCTAAGCATGTCACGTGTCCGAACACTCTATTCATGTGAATTGAGAGCACCAAGGCTAGATACTCCCCCGATAGCCTTTGCTAGTTTCGATTGGTCCGTGTCTGCTACCGGCGGCGTCGGAAAGGAACCGCTGTCTCTTCGCCTGGTTAGACTCTCGGGTGAAGGTCAGCGATGCAGAGTACGATATGCTCTTGCACTCGGAGAGGGGGAACGTCGCATACACTCGGGCCCCCTTGAATACCTCTGTGACGCAGACGGCCGCACTCCAGCGTGGACCCCTCGACCACCTTCCCGCCTTCTGCATAAAGGGGTCCGTCTCACTGTGGAATTAGTATCAGCCCGGGCACTGGCAGAACTGGCAGTACCAGTTGGCGGTCGAGCCGCAACATGTTACGATCGTGATAAACAAGCGTGGGCGCTCCGTTGTGACACACACTCAGAAACAGTGAGACTACACATGCTGTATCGGGACGTGCATCACGTACCGCGAAACCATCTTCGATACGTGAGCTGGTCAGCTTGGTTGGTACGGGCTGCCCCCGCTCCTGGCGAGCCCGAAGCTGAAGAACTACCTGGAGCACCTTTCGAACACTACTATGCTCAAGAAAGCGCCGACGAGGGTCTCATGATGGAAACAGCACTAAAAGTTGAAGATGTATCTCGTGCCGGTTGCCCTTTTTTACATCCAGGTGGAGAGCTTCAAGTCCGTCTCGAGTGGACGGATACTTACCTTCTCTTTCAAGCAACTTACCATGTCTATGATGATTTGTGCCGTTTACATGCTCATCAGATGAGGTGAGAATAAAATTAAAATGTATTCTTAATACTACATAAAAAAAACTACAGTTTCAATAACAATATCCTATTGTTACAGACGTGAAATAGCTGCACTACAAGCTGAAAACTATTCACTAGAGCGGCAGCTATTCAGCTATCAAAAAAGTCTAGCCTACGCCCAGGCACAAGCAGGAGATCCGGCGGTAGCGGAAGGAAGTGGCAGGCGTTCGCCTGCTGAGCGCTCGTTGTCTACGGACACGGAATACGCGTGAAGCGGGCTCCGGCAGCGTATTAATACGTTGACCGCCTTCTTAAAGCCCGCACTTGACTTTTCTATCCTTTCGACTGATTCTGACGTTTTTGAGCGATTTATCTATTTTTCTAAACGTTTTATGGCGAGCTGCGTCCTCGTCCACACCGCTTTTCGCCGGTCGCCTGCACTTTCGCCGCTCGGATCTTTCGATAGCTGATTATTATATTCGACTACTTTTCTATTTATCTGTACATAAAGTATATTTAGATATAATATATTATGTATATTTCTTAACTTGAAACTCGAATTCATATACTACGGCAGTCGATTTATCAATAAAATATAAAAAATACATTTTCAGCGTTTCATTTATGTATTCCCTAATTTAAAAATTAAAGATTCTTTTTAGTTGATGTAACTTATAAATAGAAATTAAAACAACTGTAACTTTTCAAACTAAATTAAATGAAATAATAACCTTTAATATTTATATCTACATTATTTTAAAGGTTTACTATTTTATTTTGCTTAATAACTTTGTATAAAATATATTTATTTAATTTCAACAATCCATATAATTTACATTATCATTGTGTAACCAAATTTCTCTCTTCGTCTGTCATTTTGACACTTTGCAGTTTGACAGCTAAAACAATTGTTTACAAAACTCCATAGAACCCACGTTTTGGTATATCTATTTTCTATTTAAACATTGTTTAATTCAAAATGGCTCAAGGGAAAATGAAAGTCAAAAGTAAATTGCCACAAGGAGCTAAATCTAAAAAGGGAAAGACAAAAGGAAAAGCTGTAACGAAGCGACCTAATGCTCCTGTTCGTAGTAAGAATCAGGTTATACTGAAGAATAAAATGAAGGCAACAGTGACTAAAATGGTGAATGCGGCCGCCGAGAAGCAGTTGAGATCACTTGCGACAGACACTCCTCAGTTATCTGCAGCTCAACAAAGGGTTGCATCCGCTCCCACTGCACCAGCCGTGAAAAAATAATCAGTCTTTAAAAGTCACATGTAAATATTTTGTAATTAAAGTTATTCTTATGTTTAAGTCGAACCTAATAAAGTATTTGTACTGACCAGTGCTTATTGTTTATTTATCATAATTCTATTTATAACTCATATATAAAAACATGAATACTCAAATAGATTAGGTTATATGGAAAAATTGAGATTGGTAAATAAAAAGAAGTCAAAATACATTCCAGTTTAGTCAATCAAACATGTAATGCTTATCTTTGTTATTAATAACCTGACATAAAAAACAATTGCATGAAATAGTATACAAGAATAGATGAATTTTATTTGATATATGTGCTAAGAACTCATTAAATTTAAGGCTTCAGTAAACTCCATTTAAAACAATATCTGAAGAATAATCGACACATAATTTGTGCTAAAAAAATTGAAATAAGTATCTTTCTTTAATTGAACAAAATAAATTCAATCAAACTAAAGAAAACACTATAATTATAAACTTTCTGAAAATCTTCTGCTATGTTGATGATAGAATAAACCATGATAAAAAAACTAAAATTTAAATATAAAATTAAGGAAAAAAAATACTGTTCTATCGATCCAGGTCTCGTGCTTATCAAGTCCTTTGTCATCTTGTGTAAAGTAAATATGTATTTATTTTACATATTAATAAAATTTTATACTGGTTTTGTTACATGCGACTTGTAGTAAATGTAAATGTCATTCTTAAATTAGTAATACTATCAAGTACAAGTATGATTAACTACCTAGCTTTATCGTTGCTCGAATTGCAATTTTAGTATATTATCTACAGATTAGAGGTATGCATAAGTTAAAATATACATATAACCAGAAATAAATATCCCCTCAGTTACTCCTTATTATACTAGCTATCATAAGTGGATGTCCGTTCAAAAGGAATCTAGTATTTTCAGTTTGGTAGAGACAGATGGAGAGATAAGTATTGTAAAAAAATCTACTCTTTTATATGAACTATGTACATTTACTGAAAATTAGTTGTATAAATAGTACAAACGGACATTATAATTTATATATTTGTATAAAAATATTTAACAATACACTCCCAAAATTATGTATATTTATCTCTTGAAAACATGTTTTAAAGATTTTACCATAGTTGATTTATTTCTTAATGAAAAAATTTAAAACCAACAAATTTATTAAGGTTTGTTTGGAATGTGTACAGTCACTGGAATTTTAGAAAAAAATTCTAAGAATGCTTACAGATGGTGGTTGAAACTAGTAAAAAATTTTATTTAAATGGGTTGCTAATAAATATAATATTTGTAAATAAGATTAAAATCTGTTAAAAAAATATTTGGACTGAAACAAAAGCATTTTCTAAGATCTATCCACCAGTAATATTATAAAAATTTGAATGAAGCTTTATGTTTTGTGCTGAATTGGTATGACAGAAATTTGTTGGTTGAATTTAATTTATAGCATATATTTTGTATTTCTTATGTACATATAAGAGTTTATTTTATTACTTTACATACGATTCGAAATAACCAAATTCAAGATTGCTCTTCAACAAGTACCGTTATCACAGATAATAAAAATGCTTTGGCCTTAATTTTTATTCCATTACCATTTGTGGACAAACTGACTAACAACTTTAACAGTGTTGACAACTGACAAGCATTCATAATGGCTGACGGTTGCAATCTTTACTCGTCCTAGAATCAAATGCGCCCAAAATTTTCGTTAATATGTAAATAATATGAAACTGAATATCGAATTCAATTCCATTTAGAATAAATCATTTCATTTTCACGTTATTACGTTAGCCTTTTTGCGAGAATAAGTATTTTCCCGTCGTAAAAGCCTGTCACAGTCTTCCGCTTCTATGACATGTTTCCAAGTGAGTTATGTTTTCCATAAAGGTACACTTTTATTCTTTTTCTGAGCTGCTGAGAGTCGTAATCGTTTAGAGTTCCACCAATAAATATCATTATACTTATTTTACCCTTTTTTACGCAAAAAGAAAAGTTATGAAAGTTACATCTACTTGTAGATAGTTTTATACGTACGCAATTTTGAAACATAAAATCTTATTACACGAAAACGTAAAAAAGGTGATGAACTCAAAATATGTGACGTGTTTTCTTTTTGATTGATTACCTTATAACTTTTGGATAATATAAATTATCTTTACATTTTTTTATCATGAGACATTATTTTATTGTACACTTGGAACTTCAATTAATGGTATGAAAACAGAACGCAAAGTAAGTTTTCATGGTCAAGCTAAGTAGTTTTAACGGTTTTTCATTTTTCGCACAACTGTTCTTTTAGAGTGTGGCAAGACTTGTGGTAAGCATACCAGTGGTAATCGTTTCGTATTGCCTCCCTAGTATGGGTTGTAACTTGTATATTCCCTTTATAGGAGTTATTAATATGTTTAACCTAAACATAGAACGTTTTCTGATAAAAACCTTAAAAATGTCGGTGTTAATGTTAGCTATACTCTGATACTACAGGAATAACAAAGCACTTTAAATATTAATCGGAATTTTTATTTGAGTCGATGCGTTTACCTAATTCAAAATCGATTTTAACCAGAAGTACTTAATCCATTTTAGAGCTAATTGAACTAATCGATATTATGTTGTTATCGATTGTTTTAAATCCAGATCCGGATACGTGTTAATGTAGATAAATAAGTTGTCAACAGATAAAAAATTCTCAATATAATATAGGTATATTATCATTGTATAGATAGCAGTTACAAAATAACACAACATCTTAAAACCAATAAGCATATTTATGTGTTTATTTTAAGTTATCGACAAGAAGCGACAGGTCTGAGTAAACCAATACGGCCATCTTCGTTTTGGGTCCAAGATTAAATTTTTTTTTGAAGTCAATTTCGTTGTAATTCGGTGAAGTTTTTTGGCTGTTTTATTTTGGCTTATATTGCATGTTGCGTATGTGGGTAACATATTCAAGGTAATGTCGCACGGTGAGTGAACGAACAAATAAGGATGGATCGCTTATCGATGATTCAAAAAATGTATTATTTGTATTTATACATAGGTATTATATGAAAGTTTACAATATTATTGAGTCATCTATGAGTTAAGTATTCGTTGTTAAGGATAATGCTGAGAGCAAATATATTATTGCTCAAACATTAGCGGAGGGAATGTGTTTGTTTAAGTGTGCGACACATCAGAAACCTTTTATGAGTAACAAAATATTCTAAAAAGAACAATAACTCTCAGCTACAAATAGATTAAATAAAGCCAACTCGAATCAAAGTAATATTTATGTGAGTATCGATAATAATTGTACGTCACTGTTGTAGCTTGGCTTGTGGATGTGAAGGGGAGAGGGGTGATGCGATTTCTCCGAATAAGATTAATAAATGCAGGCGGGCGGGGGAGTAGCGGCTAATGACACCGGCCTGCAGATATTTTTTATCATGAATTTAAAGAGAACTGGTTGCTCGGTAGCCCTCCGGCTCCTGCGCACACTTGTCACACCTCGCCACAGAATAGATTGTTACAGTTTCTGTTTTCATTACATACGATATAACTGATGGTACACACTTGACTCTTAACTGTACTGTTAGTTAAACGTCATACTGCATGAGCTGTCACTTAGACAAGACGTCAAACTGAAAAAAAAAAACAAATTTAATTTATTGTATAAATTAACTTAAAATGAATAATTAAATAAAATAAATTCAGAAACTTCCAAATATTTTTCAGTTATTAGTTGTCAGCATTACGTTTAGCTCAAATATAATTTTATTTAACCATACGTGATACAGATATAAATTAAATTATGTTAATACTTTGTTAGTGAGATATCAAAGATCTGTCAGAGCTTAGAACGAATGCAAAATACTTCATGAACTAGTTAGTAACGGTCCCAACTTGTATCACAGAAAATTGTTCTAGAAGGTTTGTATGAATGCACTTTAGATTTTTAAATTTTTAAACGTATTATAACATATATATGATTGGAATGATATGTATACTATTTTTATTATTTCAATACTCATAATAAATTATATTCATTGTTGGTATTTAGAGTAAATAGTTTTAGTATTTTTTGAGAAAGTAAAGACATCTTGGTAATGTTTTCAATAGTATATAATTGCATATATTTAATAGTTTTAGACAAACGTTATGTAGTATGACTATGGTCGGTCTATGATTTATGGTTTCCCGAGCTGCAGACACGGAAGAGGTTGTACCAATCGTCACACTCAAATGTTTTGCGGTTTAAAGATTACATATCTTTCATTTATTAGAAAAACATTGTAGTAATATTATAAGTTTATGTTTCCAGATTTCTTAATTCAAATAATTCTTCTTTTTTCATGAAGTTTTTTTTGGCAGACGCTGTGACGTACATTTATAAAACCCTTTATGTACCTACTATATTTATTTAATCTCTAATAGTGTACAAAACATGGTATTTTTTTTATGAACAGCGAATGATATACATAATAGGTACATAATAGGTAGAATAATTAGATAGAATTGATGAAATTTTTAAACCAAAAAACTGCTTACTTTAAATGTTTATATAATTTTTTCAACACTTCTCCCATATTGTTATATACGTGAATTTATATAAAAAAATAAAACCTCTTAAAAGGATATAATGATCTGTTTCTTTTACTGAATTTACTTTTTACTTTAGACTGTTTTATTTTATTTAATAAAAAAGCCTTAATGAACTTATTTCTATTTCGATCTTAATGAATCGAGCGATTAATTATTTATTCAGGTTATGCATATGCAACCACTTAACGAAGTTAGCGCGTTGCTGTCTTTTGTTCGAGCAGCGAGTTTCAGATGCACTCTTACGCTGTTTTTATTTAAAGATTTATAATCGAAAAGCAAAAAAAAAATTCAATCTACTATTGAAATATCTTCCTAGTATATTGTTAAGGAGGTGATGTATACAAGTGTCTGGTAAGTGGTACGCCAGCCAGTGTCTGTGTCCATTTACACCCTACTTAATTCCCGTCCGTCTGCGGGCAGCGGGCACCATGACACAGGAGGTGATATCGACGGGAGACAATAAATCCGGTTCTGCAACGGCTGCAATTAAACTAGTGTCGCGACGGGTTCGCGACCGTGCGAAAGTGAAGCCGAGGGGGCGGGAGGGGGGAGCTCGGGGGGGCAGGCTCGGACTCAGCCGTGGAGGTGTCAGGCGGCAGTCCGCGCGCAGCCGTCGGCGCAGACGCACGCGCCGTGCCGCGACAGTGCCATGCGTTAGCGCCGCGGCCCCATGGTGTACCCCGAAGCATCCCGCTGGGGAGCGCCCGACACGCTAGCGCCCCTCTACGATGACGTCTACCGAGGTCAGCACTGCAAGTACCGCGAATTGCATCCTTTGTTCTAGCTCTAACTTACCTGTCACTTGTCCTCTTATACATATATATGTATATGTTTACGTTCCTGTATATTCTTGTAGCGAGCTCAATACATGCATCTGACCGACTGGTTTGTTTTCATTTACTCATTAACAGATGCTAACGATCTGTTCACATCATAACTCTTTAGATCCGTCTGGCTTTTTATTCCATTCCTTTGATAATAGCTTTAAATAAATTATCTATATAAACTTATGTATAGATTAATTTATTGATATCTATATATTGAAAACTATCCTATAGTAAAAGATATTATTAAACATATAATTATAGTTAATGAGTGTAACTGTTCCGCGAATTAGAGTGTTCGACACGAGGGTTAAGTAACGTTAACTGAGGTCAGTTACTCGGTGGGTGACCGTTAATGCCATCAAACGTTATCGATCGTTCCTCACGTGATTAGTTCCGGCCTATGTATGTTAGAAAGCTCGAATGTGAACTGAATTCGTTGTACAGTTTTATATTTCGCAACGCAACCATCGAACCGAATTAATACGACTGCATATATGTTTGTTGTTATATGTAGTTAGTAAGTTATATAGTCTTTATAGTCCGCCTTGAGTTTTGAGTGAGTGTATGAGTCATACAGTTGTATGTGAACAAAACAATGGCAACAACTTGGACTTATTTCTCTTTATATTCAAATATGTATACTTCAAAGTTTTAAAGGGTTGTTGCATTTATGATTATTTTAAGAAAATTAATTTATTAGAAATATTAATATGATTGTTTTACCTATTTTATAAAAGTTACGTTTATAATGTTATAAAATACATAGACAAAACAAAAACAAATAGATTTTTGGGGAAAATCGTCATCAATAAATAGGGGTCGCATAGATAAATAACTTCTCTTTTAAATAAAATTTTATGTCAAATTTTTTTCATGTTTAATCTTTCTTTATTTTAAGTCTAATATTAGAATTTATTTCTTTTTTACGTAGATAATAGTAACACAAAGCATAAGTAAAGTTTCTTTAAAAATATAAGAATCTCTACACCAAGTAGAATATTCCTTACTATTCCTTTCTGTATTTTATATAAAAGTTCCTTAGTTAATGAGACGGCAAAATTAATAAGAAATTGTCAAAGAAATGCGTTAAACGGTCGTCTCTGTACCGCCCTCTGTCGCCGCGACTACATAACTATTATAAGTAAATCTTTTATGAAATTTCTCAAGATAAAAACTTTTGTTATTCTACAAAGTTTACCAAGATTCTTGATAGCACATAGAAAACATTGTTATGCTTTCATAAATTATAATTTACATATAGCCTGAATAACAATGAAGACGTAAAATTTTTGAAGTTTTTATAGTAATACAACAAAAATAAGATAAAATTTCTTTAAAATTCTTGTAGGTTTACTGAAAACGACATATATTCCTGTTACGAACATAAAACTTTTAATAAGATAGGTATTAATTTTTTTATGAATTTTGTTTTAAAAAATTTCAATGCAATTAAAATTCTGTTCAATTGCCTATCAAGTATTGCAATTAAAAGTAGCAATTGGAACTGGCAGAATGGAGAACATAAAATATTTATTTTAAAATAGAAAAAAGTCACTGAAAACTACAATTTTTTTTCACGAATCTCTTAAAAATTAGGGCTCGCATACAAGAAATGAATTCAGTTATGAATTCATTTCGAAATAATTTTGTAACAAAAAAAATCCAAGTCACAATAGTAATAGTTTAAATATATTGTTTTTTTTAACCACCGTTGTTTTTTTTTTGATTTCACAAGGCGTAGATCTGAAATATAATGCCAGAGAAAAAAAATAATAATAATAAACAAAGCCGAACTTAATATAGCGATAATTCACATCTGTTTGTCTTTACTAGGCAATAGTAAATAAATATCGTGGCTATCACGACTCACGGATTTATAAATTGCTGGATGTTTCGCAACCTCGGATAGCAATGAGATTTATGTGACAGATACAATGTGCATTAGGTGTTTAAACTAGGACGACACCAGGATATGCTCGGATAATTATTATTAAACTTTCCACTTATTATGCCATACAAATATAATCAATTATTCTTAAACTAGTTCATTTTACGTATTAATCATATAGAGTACAATAATGTATATTTTAATAACTTGATTAGAAAAGGAAACACATTTATGCCATTTTTAAAATAAGACATGTTCGTTAGTTTAGAGCATTATATTTATATTATATCGTTTACGGGAAAGCGTCCTTACGTCCTCTTTACAACCGTTAAGTTACAGCTTATAATTACATTAAGTTTAACCGTCGTCGCTAATGGGGTAGTATTTATAAACAGAGACAACTCGTATAGCTCGGGGCTATTTTTAGAACCGCTATACTGACTCACCGAACGTATGTCTGTAGGTACATATACTAAGGTATAATTATGTTGGTACCACTCATTGATTCGCCAATAAAAACTCTTTTTACTTATCATATATTTTTTTTGCCACCAAAAGGAAGTGAAACATAATTAGATTCGAGCGTCGTTAAATGATTTAATATTAGTTTTGTCAGCAAAAAAAGAAACACTCGTTAATATGTAGATTGTGAAGGCTTGCGTCTCATTGTCAGTGACGTATCTTATATTTTTAGTTTTCGATTAATTAAAAAATTATTTCAGAAGCTGACCGATAAAAGATCGTAATAAATTATCATATATTATTTTTAATAACGCCATTTTTATTCCATTAAAATTATAGATATCCGTGTTGCATTTTTTTTATTATAAGCCAATGTTTGAAGGTAATTATGAACTCGATAATATACTTGTTTTAAGAGATAAGCGTTTAAAATTATATTCTGCATCTGTGAATAGATTCAAATGTTAGTTTAATTTCAATAGATCAAGTCAATCGGATTCCTAGAGGTTTCTGGTCGCCGCTGAAACACTCGGTTCCCGTACTGCAGGCCCGCATACATTTGCCTGCTTTGTAGTGAGCGAGCTTAGTGTTGCTTGTGTTGAGTTTATATATTTTATTTATAATGGAAATTAGATCGGATTTAGTGGTCGATAGATGTGTTAACGCTGTCAAAGGTATGCTTTTTATATTTCACTATCCTAATTTACACTCATTTTTGTTAACTTATTTTAGTAGTGTGTTGAAAATTAAATTGTGTTTAACTAACAAATAAAATAAAAATACTTATATCTGATATTTACTCGAATAAAAGTTTTAAATGAAACATTGAAATTAATTTTCTTAAAATACCTTTTTATGTTTCGTTTTATTTTAATTTTAACTTGTTTTAATGAATTCGTAATTCTCTTGTTTTTAGAGCGGTAGCATAAAAGTACTGGATGGTTCATTTTTAGAATATAGTAATGTTTGACATAATATTAATTAATAATTAATATGTTTTGATTTTAGTTTTAAATAACAAAATTACACTCTAACAAATAAAAACTGTGACTTTGTCAAAATATTTCACGATTCCAGTGCGAATGAAAATAACGCATAAAAATATATAGTTTATATATTATTAGTTTATTTTATAATGGCGTCAATAATATACTTAAATGTGCAACTATAAAAATTATTATATCTTATTATATAGAAACTACGACTTTCTAGTGACTGACATAAAATGAAATCTTCTTTTTTATCTTAGTGCAGGTTTTGCAACTTAAATTTTAATACCGATAGTTTGTTGGTCTTTTGCTCGAAACGTCTATATATTCGTATTTACGTAGGTCGTAACGTGATGTGCACTCGTTCTAAGGGTACTTAATGGGAGAAGCGATATCCGCAACATTAAAATACGTTGGCGTAAATTTATGATTTCTCAATACATACATATATATAGAAGTTTAAAACGTTACTAAAATTAAATTTATAGACCGAGTTATGATTCTATATATATTTTATTTGAAAAAAAAGGTTTTGTATCGATTATTTTTTATAGTTTAAAAAATATTTTTTTATGTATTCTGAATCGAATGATTTGCTCTGAACGTGAGCGAGCTCTCGAAATCCATATTTCGTCATGAATATCGCAGATTGAAGTCGAAATTACCGAAACTTGATTTAGAATTGAATAATCCGAACTTTAACTACCCGGTTCGCGTTATGAATAAATTTTAACTTCGCCGTATTACTTCACGGGACGACAACTTTATGCGTAATTTTACTAAATTATTCACCCTTTTCTTTTTATTTCACGAGCAACTCAATCTAAAGTCTAAACCACCACTGAAATAAACATAGCGGAAATCTCTCCACCGTTCGCAAATATCAAAGGCTGAATTTCTAAATTCGTCTCATACGTGTAAAAGTTTTCCTGAATGAAGGTTAAATGTAGCTTCATGATGACTTTGAAATTGTTTTGTTACAATCGAGTAATCTAGGACAATGCTTATATAAAGGGAGGCAGTCTGACCGTCTGTCTATAGATATTGAGTTATCTACAACTCAATAGTTCGGTACGTGCCTCTAATGTAGATGAATACACCTAACTACACTTCATATGCACATAATATAACGTCTATGTACGCCAGAAGGACTTATTTGTTATTTATTAGAAGTAAATTTGTATAGGATTATTATTAAGCTGAATGTCGAATCAATGTTCATAGTAAACAGATTAATTTTATTTATAAAAAAACTATAGATATATCTTTGGTTAGTAAAAATTATAAAGGTGGTTTGAATTTTTTGTGTTATTCGCTGTAGAACAGATTTTTTTGTTGTGAAAAATTTAAAAACTCTTAATAAACCTGATTTATTTAATTTGTAAAATATATTGTTATTCGAACATCACTATTTCGTGTCTTACTATATTATTATGTATAATATTTTATGAGAGCTCTTACGACGTTCGTCGTCCCAAAATTCAGATTTTTTACGACATTACTTAAAGGAAATTCTGGATTCAATATAAGTTTTCAGGAATAGTTGTCAATTTATTCTGATAGTTGTATATTTAAAGCTATATTTAAACTCTAAAAATTAAAAGATAAAAATATTTTATAGGCATTTTTATACAATTTCTGAATAAAAGAAAAAAATCAAGAAACCTAATTGAAGAGACGTTTTCTCAACACTACTTCCTAGTCACATTTTCAAAGGCCTCGTGCCGACAGCTTTCCAATACTTAGAAATTGATTTATCTAATAATTAACATTTATTAGCGATAAAAGCATGTTATAATATTTTTATTGACATTTTTTTACCTCAAACGCTTCATTTACTTTCGTTTTTAAACATTAATTAATCGAGTTACAAATCTTAAATGATTTTTTCATGTTAAAAATTTGCAATGACTTTGTTATAATAATAATTTAGACAAATATAATAAATTCTAAATAGCTTATAAGTAATAATTTATCTACTAGTGTTGATTTATTTAATATACAAACAGGTTAAAATTTATTATTCGCACAATTCCAATGCAGACTTTCTATGTTAACATCTTGGAAGTCGTGGGAGTGACTTGTTACTTGAAAATAATGAAAGCTGCTTCTATATGACGCTTTTACTTCACTGTCGGATAAATTCTTAATGATTAGAAACTAACACGTCATTATTAACTTGAATAATTAGAAAAAGATTTCATATGATATTAACACTCATACATATACAGGGTGACTGGTGAATTACTATCAATATTTAAGGAGCATACTCGGTACATGATTCTCATTCGAATTATGTAAAAAAATAGGTACTTAATTTTTGACAAAATTTCCGTATAAATAAATAAAGTTTTGACACGTTCCAAGTGTTCCAAGTGTGGACGCGTGCGGCGGCGTGCTGTGTGTGTATACTTAATCTGTAGGGGTTCACACGATAAGTAATTAATTACATAACTTTTGGTTAACTTTACTTAGAAGTTTATTAATATTTATGTTATATTAATTTTTATTTTGTCATATATGATCGTCAAATATCACGTCCTCAAGTATCGAAAGTAATTTACCAGTCACCCTGTATAGTACTTAAATATAAGTCACAATTAAATCTTCTTATTTTTGTACAAATATATTTATGTATTGTACTTATAAAAAGTATTCAAAATATTTGTCTCCTTTGTGCGATACGACTTTCGAAATTTTGCATGTTAATTAATAGTCGCATAATATTTAATACTATTAAATTAGAAAATAGGTTTAGCAGTATTATTGATAGTTTATAAATGCGTAATAATTTATACACCGTTTAAGCTCCTCGTCCATTAATTTAGTGGAACACAATGTTAAACCCTTGAATAACAGGTTCTACGCAATGGATACTAAATTGTAGACTCGAATCTCATACTGCATTACTCAACTAAAGATATGTTCAATTTAAGCCGAATCTCACTGAAACATAATTGTCATATATATGTACATACTTATATTTATTTGAAGTATTATAGTATTCATTTAAAAACCATTAATGTTTTCAAATTAAAACCATTTCATTTTGTTGTATTAGCATTTGAAACAATGAAAAATAGTTTATAAGTATTTTATTTAATTTATTTCTCATACAAAAGTACACAACCAATGACTAACACGTAGTTTCAATGTTCAATTTCAATCTATTATGGAAATGTCAATATATAAATAGATTATTATTAACTAATTACTTAATTGACGTAATCCGACATGTAAATCCCCTTAACAGATATATCCCTGGCATCGTTCTTTGATCAAAACGTCAACTCCGCTAATTGCAAACAAATTATATTAATCTACTTAGAGACATAGATTCAGTTAGTTTCAAAATTAATTTTCGTGAGTATTCATTTAAATGAAAATAATATTATTCGGATTACTACACGTATTTTAATATTTTAAAACTACATACTAACGACGTTCGGACACTTTAGGCAACCGTGATTACGAGCAGACCTATCGTCTGTAGTTTAAAATTATAAAATACGTGAAGTAATCCAAATAATATTAGTTGCATTTATATTACACTAGCTTTCCGACCGCAGCTTCGCCCCCATGGAGTTCGGTTATATCGCGTTTCCAAGGGAATCTTTCAAAAGTTTGGGATAAAAACTATCCTATGTTCTTTCTCAAGGTCAACTCTATGACTGTACCAAATTTAATTAAAATCAGTTCAGTGGTTTAGGCATGAAAGTGTAACAGGCAGACAGACAGACAGATTTACTTTCGCATTTATACATAATATTAGTAGGGTTTTACTCATACCACCCATTGCGATTTCGACGGCGTCAATATTACTTGATTTTTGACGAAGAAGATCTTTTCACGATCCATCAATTATAAATTAGTAATTATTCCTTTGTAATGGATTGTACTGAGATATATTTGTAGGTATATTATATATTAATAGTATATATCTTGCAGCGGATGGCGTGCTGTCTACAGTGAATGTGGTAGAGGCGTTGCAGGAGTTCTGGCAGGTGAAGGCTTCGAGGAACGGTGGTGCAGCAGCGGGCAGCAGCGGCGCCCTCGTCATATACGAGTCCGTGCCCGCAAAACATCCACCCATTCGTCTGTTATGTGACATTGCCAGGTGGAGCATGCTTTGGCAGCTTTGAGGTAATGAAATGATTCGAAATACAAAACTAATATATTCTAGAGAATAGAACATACTTATTATGAGGTCCAATATAGAAATTTGTGCCTATATTCATTTTTGTTCAACAGAATTGTCCCACAAAGGCCGAAGCTAGACGTAGCGCAGCGAAGATCGCTCTAATGAACAGCGTCTTCAATGAGCACGAGTCACGGCGTATATCTGAACACTTCATTGAGAAGGCGGTGGCGGAGGCGCGTGCCTCGTTCGCGGGCGACGCTGCCTCCCACCACCAGGACCCTAGTGCAGGGATAGCTGCGTTTAGGTATTTTATGTTTATTATAAATATATTATTTATTAAAAGCTCCTATTTTCTTAAAATTACAGTAGACACATAAGAAAACATTCATAATAGACGTAAACAAAAAACGATAAAGTAGCTTCTGCTGGTCAATAGACATAATTCAATATGGAATGAGTTTGGGGCGTGATAATTATACATTATTCTTCTAATTCCATCCGTAGGTTTATGCTAGAAGCAAACAAAGGTCGCACGATGCTGGAGTTCCAAGAACTGATGACGGTGTTCCAGCTGCTGCACTGGAACGGCTCTCTGAGGGCGATGAGGGAGAGGCAGTGCTCGCGCCAGGAGGTGGTGGCGCATTACTCCGCGCGCGCCTTGGACGACGCCATGCGCGAACAGATGGCCAGGGAGTGGGCCAACAGAGAGAGAGAGTCCACCACAGGTAACAGAAGAATGACATGGTCTTGGTTGTATGGAAGACTATTGCACTATCATAGAAAAGAAACAGACAAACAAATCGATTAATATTAAAAGGCATATTGTTATATTTAAACATATCGTATTCACGTACGTAGAGAAGTTAAATCAAATTGTACACTGCAAATTTCAGACATAAAGACAAGAGTGACGGCAATTTTTAATTTCAGTCTTATTATCTGTTAAAACATTGTTAATTTATGGAGCTACTAGTTTTAAAATCTGTTAAAAGCTTTCGGATGACTTTGACTTTCGACATTGAATATGATAATATCGTTATTATTCCTTTCCTTTAAATTAACTTAAAACAAGTAGCGTAATCATCAAAATTGATATAAAGTAAGTTGTTTTTTGCCATTAATTAGGAGGCGGCGTGTTACGGAGTGAGTTGGCGCGCGCTGAGCTCGAACTGCGAGCGGCGCGCATCGCAGCCAGGGAACTTCGGTTCCCGAAGGAGAAGCGCGACATATTACTACTGGCTGCCAGCCAGGTGCCTCCGCAACAGCAACAATGATCTCATCGCGCGACCCTATTGTTATTTAAGTATAGTTATATAGCGTAAGAAAATGTTCGTTTCATTTCTACTACCCTTGAATCGAGAGTAAAATGGATAAGGAATTTAGTTTGAGTATGAAAAACTCGTGGTGGCCTAGTGATTAATGGCGGGTTCTAATCCTGGCAAGTACTAATGTGGTTTTTCCGAGTCATATCTACTTCCTAAGAGTATTTAGACACCATTGACAGACGGTGAAGGAAAAACATCGTGAGGAAACCTGGACTTATAATTTTCAAGTATAAGTTTGAGTATCGCCAACTCGTCTTGAGCGAGCGTAGTGATTAATGCTCAAATCTTCTCCATGTAAGAAGAGGCCTTTGCTCAGCAGTGGGCTCTAATAGTCTGATGATGATGAAAAACTCTGAGCAGTTCTGATATAAAACCTGAAAAACTGACTCCCAGAAGTATAAAAAAATCCAGGACTTATAATTTAACTCCTTTTGTTATTAAGATAAATACAATAGTCCATCTTAATTCACATCCGCCAATCAAATTAAAGGTTTTACAGTAAAATAGTTCAGAATTCTATACGGCCGAATGTTCTGGAAGATTGCGTTTCGAATAACTGAGAGCTGAATATAGAATTCAGTTTAACCAAATGTATTCACTGTGTCAGCAGAAATGAATATCGACTAAAATTCAATTATTTCCGTATAGTTTGATCCGATTCAATAACGTTTTTCGGAGGAAATTTATATACGAAATATTTGTAGGTATATTTGAAATAAACACTCAACATCGCACATGACATTATGAACGTAAATACATATATAATTTTCTACGTGTATAATAAAATGATTCCGTATGAAATATCAATATATATTTAGCAGTGAAAATTTAAACCTGTTTATCTTCGAGACAAATAAATGTATTACTATTTTGATTGTCCATTCAAAGTCTCTGTAAGAACACTGAAAAACCAAGTTCAGAAACTCAATAACATTTTAATTACATTGTTTTTTCCAAGTCTTTTGTCGGAATACAACTTGGAAACGTAATCTAATCCATGAACTTTGTGTGAATAAATTTTGGAAGCTCGATAGAAATGAATTATTCATGGTTTCCCACGTTATTTTGCTTGATGGGTTCATGAAAAACAAAAAAAAAAAAAAAAAAAAATTTGGAGACTTGTTTGATGTACGGTTTTGAACGAGTCCGACTATTCTTTTGTCATGAAAATGGTGGTTATGCAAAAGTGTCTTGAGTGAAGCATTATTAAATGAGAGTTCTTTCATCTTACGTGTCAAGGCAAACGGGCTCGGCAAGTATAAGAGATGACAAAGACCTAACACCTTATAAGTGCCATCAAATAGAAAAAGATATAAAAATCAGGAATTTTATTGAAATTAAATCGGTTGGATCTTGATTTTAAATATGATTCAACTTTTAAACTACATTTTTATACGAATGGAGAAGACATACATATTTTTTTCTTTATTTATTTATAGATTTTTTAGGTATAAAATAAAGGTATAAGGTTAACATTGCACACGTATAAGCCACTAACATCCAAAGCAAATAATAAACACCAATTAGTCTCGTTGATATTCAGTAATTGATGGTTGAATTGTTAGCTATTGTGGCATGGGTTCAATTACTAGCTAACAGACGCCGATACTTATTGATTATTTACCCAATATATTTGTTATGTATCTGAATACTTACTTCATCATCGCCTTATATATAGTTGCTATTTTTGCAAGGAACTGGTTTTATTTCTGATGTTTAGATAAAAAAAAAATATATTATTATTTGCTATTCAAAAGTTCCGTTAAACTAATCAGACGTTCGGATTATTTTGAACAAAAATATAGACAGAAAATAATTTGGAAGTCGTTGAATACAAAAATTCGTAAACCTCAGAAAGTACTAGTCATTTCTAATTATTAATAATTTTGTGTAAATAATTGTGGATATTGTAAAAGAATTTACTTAGCTCATTATTATTGAACCACAGTCCTGAAAAACATACATTTTAAGTACTACTATAATATATTTGAAGTAAAAAAGTCTACTTTTTAGTTCAACAGCACATTATCGGATGATTGATGGAAAGCTTGTAACGAAAATTTTGAAAAGGAGTCAAAGTGACTGTGCTCTATTTTTAAAGGGCGTAATATATATGAAATTGAAGAGTTTGTATAAAGAGAAAAAATAATGTACTAAGTAAAGTGTAGTTTTTATTAGGGACAAATCATTTCAATGATTCTGTTGCTGGTACAATTTCTTCTTTAATAACAGTCTTTTTTGTCTTTATATTCATTGATACTATTATCTGTACCAATAGAACGTTCCGGGAACATCTAAATGGGAAAAGATAACATTCAACGGTATTCCTAATATATATTAATGTTATGTTCTAAGAACATTTAATATTCCAGCATCCTTAGTTTGTGGTAACTAAACTTTTGTTTACATCAACACACTACGTATTCTAGTTTCCAGTTATAAGAACGAAAATCTTAACATATTATTAATGTAGATTATTAAATGAGCAAATGTAAAGGCATTATGAGAACCTTTGGTAAGCACACCAAATGGTAAAATTATATTTATCCAATGCATTTGCTTAAATGGTAGTGTTTTCTTTGAATGTCAACTGGTCACTGGTGTTTTAGACAAAAGTAGTTTTAAATGCAACCAAATAATAAACACCAAAAATCTATTCATCTTTGGAACAATAAAAAAGTATTAGTATATTGGAAGTGCAAGGAGCACAGAATATATATTGTAGGAGAAAAGTGTAAGTGATGGAAAAAAATGGTTTAAAATTTAGTGTTTGGAAGAAAGTATCTATATGCTCTTTGTTTCGAGAGATCATTACGATTTGGTCTGTTGCAATGTATGTATATAGTCATTATAGTCTTGAACTATTATTACATCGCGGACATTTTACTTAAAATTCAAGTTTCTTATAAACACAACGTTAAACGACACACTGATTATACGAGTATACGATATCATTTAAATTCTGATAACATGATATATAGTATGCGTTCAGTGAAGTATTTCACAAAGAATTATATATTCCAGGAGTGTGCAAAGCTGTGATACGATGGCCCACTTCCCAGAGCTTACTGTATACAAGCTAAAGTGTTTTTCATCTCCGGCGACGCAAAGCTATTGTGAATACTCTTCACATTCTTGTAACGACCTTATATCTTCCAAATAGTACAATTTACTTACGTAAAATATATATATCAGACATGTGCGTGTACTAGATTTTATATACTTCTATATATGTACAAATTTTCACGGAATCGTATCATAGTCTCTACCCCTACTATAGTTAATGATAACTCACCGTTTCGGAGTTCATTCATTCACGTTCATTGATAAATCACGCAGCGTATTTATGAAATAGATGACCCTTAATAAACTAACTCGAAACCTATTAGGATCTACTGTGGCTATGCAACTCATAGTTGGGGTAATACCATGGGACATAATTTATAGCTATCCCGAGTGCTATCACGACATTTTCAATGACTAACTAAATTATATTGAAACAGACGTATAAAAATAAAACAAACATTATTAAGAGTACGTTACTGTTATTGCCTTACTTAGTAAAGTAAATCGAGTGAGCGGTTCGAGCATTATTATCACTTTTAACTTTGTATTTTATGACCAGCGTCGTTAAGGTGCCTACCTATCTCAATCGTTTCTGTGCAAATTGAACTGGTTAATTTTGTTAATTAAGATATCTACTTGCACACTGCATTAACATTGTATTTTAATATGCAGGTGAACTACAAAACGAATATCATGTGTTACTATTGCATTATTAAAATACGTTTTATATGACGACACTTAACATAAACTGTGTGATGTTTTTTTTAAGACCCGTTTAGATCCACAAGGCTGCGGTCCAAACAATGTGAACTACGCTCCAATGCAGAAATGAGTTTCTATTCAAACGACAACACAATATCTTAGAACAGACAATCATACACCGCTTGTCATTCCTGTACGCGATTCTATCGAAGCGGGAAAGTATAATATTGTTCTAAACTACAATAGCTCTTGTGTATATGATATATAAATGTATAGAATTCGCCATGAATTCTCTGGTGTGAAGATTTCTTCTTGATTTTCCTAGCAGGGGATATTGAAGATTTATGTAAAACACTTTGAAGCTGCCTGTACCGTAGCGCCGGGATGTATTGCTGAGATAAGAGTATTTTTATGGCATAGATTAGGAGCCGCTTTAAATAGTGCAGTTTTATTTTATGGTCGTAACGAGTCTGTGCCAACATACCCCGGAGTTTATTTAGCTGCTGGGACTTTTTATACTTTATTAAAACAGGTGTTTTAATAAAGCATAAAAATCAATGGACTTTGTAATGAAACAAAGGAGAATAATTTTAATAAACGAAACGTGGGTTCAATAGTTTGCTACAAAAACTATAACCACGACTAAGTAACTTAAATAAAAATATACATTTAGTGCAGTTGTCTTACTGAATAGAAATTTCGTGTAAAATCAGTTTTGGAAGATTCTTAGGCACATTAAGAGACAATAAATACAAACACAATCTAAGTATTATTTATTTAGACTTTTTACAAAGCCTTTTTTCTTAACTCTTCGTAGTGCAGTTTAAATATAATTAAAACAGAGCTTTCTAAAATGTAGTCCAAAATTGATGTTTTTCTTCTTATCTATTATTTTACTGTTAGAATATATGTTAAAAAAATTGTAATAATACTTTAAAAATGAACTTATCATTTTATATGGGTATATTTTTGTTCAAATTAATGAATATATAGAAAGTTGTGCATTGATTAATAAAAAGCAAACACTTAAATAAAACTAAGTAGAACATTTTATATGAGAAACATAAATCTCATTAGTATATATACAAAAAGGTTACATTTCTAAAGCTGATAAGTTCTGGCGTATATAAAAACGCTTTAATTTTGTCTTTCATATTAACTGGAGCATTAGTTCTTGCTTT